AAGTAAGTAACTAAAACGAAACAACGAACGAAGGAAAGTTAACTAAATACTAGTAACTAAGAACAATAGTATATATATATATATATATATATATATATATATATATACTGACAAAGAATAAGAAGTCATTTTGCATAGAGAAATAACAATCTGCAAAGTCAAGCAAAAGAACACCAAATTACAACTGGTAACAAAAATAATAAATAAATACATGATTAGATAATAAACAAACACCTCCATTGGGTCTCATTGGGATTTTTTATTTCTCTAAGGCTGAAGCTAACACTCTTCAATTAGGGCCGAGAGAATTTAAGGATTCCTTTTCCATGCCACTCATCATTGAGGGGGATTCTCTCAATGACATATGATGGACAGCTAAAGGATCCTCTTTTCCTTGGCACCTAGTAGACATTATGGAGAAGATCCTTGCTTTGAGTGATTCATCGGCAGCAAGTTTATTTATCCATACTTATAGAGAAGCCAGTGAGATGGCTGACATGCTTCCTAAGGAAGAGCGGGGTAAGCTCCTTAAAAGTGTTAGATAACTAATACTCCTGTGTTGATTCCAATGACAATCCGCTCCCAAATAGACAAACATACAACATTAAAAGCAGTGGAACAATTTACGAGCTCCACAATAAGCACATCTGAAGCAAACATATTGGCTGCACCTGGTAGACTAATGTGCCCCAAAGAAACGTAGCTTCCTACTGGAACTTACCTAATATCGATAGTACACTTGAAAATCCTGGCTTCTCCCAAGCCACAAATCTTTTCGATATCCTCAATTTTAAAACTTAAGGCATCTCATAGGGCCTAATATCGATAGTACACTTGAAAATCCTCGCTTCTCCCAAGCCACCAATCTTTTCGATATCCTCAATTTTAAAACTTAAGGCATCTCATAGGGCTTCATACACCGCATGCCGATACCCACCATAATCGAATATCTTGAATTGTTTCCTAATTTCAATGATTAAAATATCCATGTGAAAGGGGTCATTTTGCTTTTCAACATGGATATTTTGATAGACATTGAAATATCTCAGTCTGTTGAAAAGGACAATGACCTACTTCACATCATGCAATCTAAATTGCCATGATTGATCTTTAACATTTATGATATGTATTGCAAGTCCTCTTATATCCCAAAACCCCCACAAGAATGCTACATGTGGCCAAACCCAGATACCTCCGAAAATTTTTAGGGGCCGAAATCCCATAATACAGCCAAACTTTTTTAGGGGCTGAAAAAACCGGATTATCTAAGCTACCCATATTTCATAATATCAAAAGACTCGGCCTTTTCAAAATCATCTGTCCCTCCTCAACTCCAATGCTCTTGCACTTGTCATTCTCACTCCCCTACTCCACGCAGACAACAAATCCAAGTCTCTCGGCAACATATACCACAACTAGAGAATCTAACATTCACTCAATTGACGATTGAGAGTCTTGAGAGTTTACAGTGTGGAAGAAGGTGCAAAAGCACCCAATAATGGCAATATTAAATGGCTTCACAAAAATAAAATCCCCACTTTGGACCAACTTAGACAACATAGCATCTTAGCAAAGATAGGAATCAGCATTTACTACTTTGCCGTCACACAAGGAAGATTTAAGGAGGTATTGCAGGTCTTCATAGAGTGGTTTTTCTTTTTTTTTCTTGTTTTCTTTTTTTTTTTTGGTGGAGTATTTGACCTCATAGCGTGTGTTTTTGTTTATAAATTTGTGTGATGTGGTGTGCAATTGGACATCCATCCGTAGGAGCCAGGGAACACAAGTGACCACTTGCATGGACCTGCATAACTTGATCGTGACAACACATGAAGGCATGGCAATGTTGTGAAAGGACTACAACAGGAATGATTAATTGTTACTACAAATGGTGGATTATATCTACCTGCAAAGTTTATCACCAAACTTGGTTTTGATGAAAGCTCGAAAGGAAACATGCTTGGCAGCATCTTAGAGATGGTTAGTGAGGTTTGGGAATCATCAAATGCATGCAGTAGACCTCTCGGGAACAAATACTCCTCTTGGGCAGAAGATCAAGGCAGAAATATATTATCATGGCTGGCTTTTCAACGCCAATTCTTGAAGCTTGCAAAGTATGAATTATGTAACTATCATTACTATACACTATGGCTCAGGAAGGGGTACATGATCTCATAGAAAGAGCATGTCATGTTTGTAAAATTATTGCACAAGGAGCATCCCAAATGTACATCATATGCCCAATGAAGCTAACTCTGAAACAGACTGAACATATTTAAGCATCCCATGGTAAAGATACAGGACTCACACATATTACCACCATAAGCAAGTTAGACATGCATATGTCTTCCTTCTGTTTTATTATTTCTAAAAAAAAAACACCGATTAAAAATAATAATAATGATGAAGTATCTTCTTAATAACATTCACAAGTTTAGGGATCAGTAACAGAAGTATGACATGTTGCAGAATCAAGAGGTCCCACCATAAAAACAAGTCAATCATTCAAGTAAAATATCAAATATTTCATACTTACCCGCCCATTTCAGTTGCCTCCTCTCTATAGGAAGCCATGTTTTCTGGTTTGATCGCTCGCAAATGGCAAAGTTCTGACTGCAGATTAAGTCCAACTTTCAATCATAATATTGAAAACATGGTATAACACTAACATATGAATGATGTAATAATGCAACTAAATACATAAGGTTCTTTTATAGGTAATAAAACTACACAACAGTTCTTGCAGTGATCAAATTGACATCCTTTAATTTTTTATGTATAGCAAACAAAGGTTATTGGATATGCAAGATATAAACTACCACAAATACAAACGATTACCGTCCTGTCCTACTATGGTGGGCTTTAAAATATTCCACACAAATCGTTACCAGGAAATGATTTGAAATTTTCATTTTTCTTTGTCTCACTTCTGCAGACAGTTATTAAATGAATTAGTTATCTTTATCCAAATCCTCACAAACATCATTACCTTGATTAGGGGTCCAAAGCCTCTGATGGGATACACATACAACATAAGATAACCGCAACGTCCTTGCTCTTCAGGCATATACAATATTATACCCGACAACATAAAATAAAATAAAATAAAAAAACAAGTGTGCATTACAACTGAACAGCAATATATTTCACGCAAACTACATAATGCACAATGAACGGGAATTTTATGTTTTACTTAAGTCTTTAGTCACAATGACATATATGAATTCCACACATAAACAATATATACACAAACATTACAAATGCAGTTAGCATGGAGGCACATCAATAAATACCATATGAGTTAGGCTCTCCAAGCTTCTACTTGAAGTAAGTCCTAACTTGATGCACCCTTACCTTTAACCACAAATCGTACTTCCCTTTGACTACAAATCGGAGTCTCTCTCTCTCTCTCT